GGGCGGGTGCGCGGCGGCGGGCGAGAACGAGGAGACGGTGATCATCGGGCTGCGGCTGGAGGACACGAACGACGTGTCGTTCATGGAAGGGGGGGCGCTGCGGGTGAGCGAGCGGACCCGGGTCAAGCTGCGGGTGTACGGGCAGAACATCAACAACGAGACGTGGTCCCGCATCGCCTTCACGGAGCACGAGCGGCGGCGGCACACGCCGGGCGAACGCGGGCTGGGGGGTCCCGCGCCGCCGGAGCCGGACAGCGGCCCCCAGCGCTGCGGCATCCGCACCTCAGACATCATCATCCTGCCGCACATCATCCTGAACCGCCGCACCTCGGGCATCATCGAGATCGAGATCAAACCGCTGCGCAAGATGGAGAAGAGCAAGTCCTATTACCTGTGCACGTCCCTTTCCACACCGGCCCTGGGAGCCGGCGGCCCGGGCTCCGCCAGCGGGGCCGTCGGGGCTAAGGGCGGCGCGGGGGTAGCCGGGCTCCCGCCGCCCCCGTGGGCCGAGACCACCTGGATTTACCACGACGGCGAGGACACGAAGATGATCGTGGGCGAGGAGAAGAAGTTCCTGCTGCCCTTCTGGCTGCAGGTGATCTTCATTTCGCTGCTGCTGTGCCTGTCGGGCATGTTCAGCGGCCTCAACCTGGGGCTCATGGCTCTGGACCCGATGGAGCTGCGCATCGTGCAGAACTGCGGCACCGAGAAGGAGAAGAATTATGCCAAGCGCATCGAGCCCGTGCGCCGGCAGGGCAACTACCTGCTGTGCTCCTTGCTGCTGGGCAACGTGCTGGTCAACACCACGCTCACCATCCTGCTCGACGACATCGCCGGCTCAGGCCTGGTGGCGGTGGTGGTCTCCACCATCGGTATTGTCATTTTTGGGGAGATCGTACCCCAAGCCATCTGCTCCCGCCACGGCCTGGCTGTAGGGGCCAACACTATCTTTCTCACCAAGTTCTTCATGATGATGACCTTCCCGGCTTCTTACCCGGTCAGCAAGCTGCTGGACTGCGTCCTGGGTCAGGAGATAGGCACAGTGTATAACCGGGAAAAGCTGTTGGAGATGCTCCGGGTCACTGACCCTTACAACGACCTCGTGAAGGAGGAGCTGAACATCATCCAAGGGGCGCTGGAACTGCGCACCAAGACGGTGGAGGACGTGATGACGCCTCTCCGGGACTGCTTCATGATCACCGGCGAGGCCATTCTGGACTTCAACACCATGTCGGAGATCATGGAGAGCGGCTACACTCGCATTCCGGTGTTTGAGGGAGAGCGCTCCAACATCGTGGACCTGCTCTTTGTCAAAGACTTGGCCTTCGTGGATCCAGATGACTGTACTCCCTTGAAAACCATCACCAAATTTTATAACCACCCCTTGCACTTTGTTTTCAATGACACCAAGTTGGACGCTATGCTGGAAGAATTTAAGAAAGGTGGGAAATTTTGGTATCTTTCATTGGCTTGCTCTTTCTCTCTCCATCCTCCTCCCTACTCGAGTCCTCTACCCTCAGACCAACCCCCCAAGGCGAGTTGACCGCAATTTCTCCTTCTCCGTCTTAATTGCAAAGTTGAAAGGGTGGCATGGATTTGGGGACGGATTGAACTAGAAAGCATTTGCAGGTTCTTTAAAAGCCCAAGGCTGCCATCAACTTTTTCCCTTTATCAAAAAGCAGGTTTTGTAATAGCTGCGTGATGCTTATAGGGAAAGGGGTGTCGGGTGACGCTGGTTTGGAGGGGGTCTGCTTCATTCATTGTTTGAGTTCTGGGTTTGGTAGGTGAAATAGGGGCTGCCTAACGCTATGCACTTTGGTTGGCATCTGATCACAGGCATTTGGAAAACATTTGAATAGCTCGTCTATTTAATCCTTTTCCTTCTCCTTAAAAATCACTCTGATATTTCAAAGATTGGAAGTGCATCTTTTTAAAAAATAGTTTCTGGGTGTCCCCCAACCTGTGGGGAAGGGTGAGGTGGCTGGAGGTTGAGGTACTGCCAAGTACCATAAAAGCTTCACTCAGTTTGAGTGTTACTGCCTTAGGGAAAAAAATGATTATTAACATAAAACTTGGAAAGACTAGAGGTAAAAAGAAGATGACTTTTATGAGGCAGTGTATCTCAAGCTTTCTTCACTGTGTGTTGACATTTACTGATTTACTGACAATTAGTGTTTTTTCTTAAACCAAGCATGGTTTTGGCAGGAAGCTTGAGCCTTTGACAGTCAGATGAATTCCTCCGTTAATGATGGTTTATTTATTTTCTAACTCTATGCAGTTTAAAAGTGTTCTCTTTTTAACCTTGATGGCCTGATACATTAAATTAAAGCATGCCTCCAAGTCAACAGCCCCTGTGCCAGGGTGTTTAACAAGGAAGAGGAGGAAGCCTAGGATCTGATGTGTGTTTACAACACATCAATTCTTGTATTGTGGTATTGTTTGCTTTACCATGAGATGAATTATTGAAATTCTGAAAGTTCATAGGAAAGAGCTAGTGTGATTTGAAAACCTAGGGATAGCCACTTTTGTGACTGCTCGGAGGCTAATGCAGGGACATATATGAAAATGTGTATAACCATTCAGGACCAGATTGCCCTCCAAAATAAGGTTCCTTCTTCACATATAGTCATGATGGCTGATGGGTCTTTCCTGGGAAAGTCCAGGTATACTTGGTGACAGCTCCCTTGGGGAGGGGGGGGGTCATCTGAACATACCGTGTGAGTGCTGGTTCCCAGTCCCTTTTCCTGTCTGAATGGTGTTCTCACAGAACAGGGACCACAGTGCAGTAATTTTCATATAAAAAAACAGAGCAGAATGTGCTTCAGCACTTGGTAATTTGCATTTAAAAGCAGGAGGACTTTCTTCTGGATGCTTAAACAGCAAAAAAGAAAATGTTCAGCATCTCTAGTGGCAGGGCTTCTTTTGGGAATGTCGTTATTCTTAACACCACTAAGCTCTTAATTAAAGCCATCTACTAGGGTCACCCTTCATTTCACAGCAATAGCCATAATACAGAGAGATGTCTTGAAATGTTCGAAAATGCCTCTGAAATTCTATTACTGAATTTCCCAATACTGATGCAAATTATTGTGTTTTTTTTTATTTAGAGTTTTTGCATGTCCACTTATGGGTTACTAGTTTGAGCCAACTATGGATGGTGTATACCTGTAGTTCCAGTTCCTTGGGAGGCTGAAGCAGGAGGAACACTTAACCTCATAAGACCAGCCTGGGCAACATATGGAGACCCTGTCTTTTTTTTTTTGGGGGGGGGGTGGTCCGGTCGTGGGGCCTGAACTCTGGGCCTGGGCGCTGTCCCTCAGCTCTTCAGCTCAAGGCTAGCGCTCTACCACTTGAGCCACAGCTCCACTTCCAGCTTTTTTCTTTTTGCTTATGTGGTGCTGAGGAATTGAACCCAGGGCCTCAGGCATGCAAGGCAAGAGCTCTACCACTGAGCCACCTTCCCAGCCCAGCCCTGCCTTAAAATTAAAAACAAACACAAAAAACAATCTAGTTTGTTCTTCCTGTTGGACTCTTTTCTTTACATATATTAATATTTGAGCATGTATTCCATTTTAGAACTCATTCATCCTGCTCCTGTTGAGAGTTTAAAAGCTTATTTTAATTTTTATTTTTTGGTTGTCCTTGTACAAATTTCCTGTGATGGGCTTGTTTTCATGAAGAACTGTTTTCTTCCCTAGTCCACTTACACAGTATTATTTGAAAAATATTTTTTAAATGATTGAGTTACTAATGTTTTCCCATGAATTCTAGGAAAATAGTACTGTGTTTAAAGATCTCATTTTTGTGCGCATCCAAAATTATATACAGAATGTGATTGAGAAGATAGTAAAAGTTGAAGGTGCATTTAGCTTAGTAGAGCAGACAAAAACAGTTTAGTGCAAATTGGAAATTTAAACCATAATCTCCAAAGTATAGACGGGGTACTTATTATTTAAATATAGGAATAATTGGTTATTCACTTTGCTTTTTTTGGTGTTTTGGGTGAATTTGGTCACTTCAATCGTCTTATCAGTCAGTTACATTAGTTCTTTTAGTTGTTCTTTTAGTTCTTTTAGTTGTGGGGCTTGAACTCAGGACCTGGGCTCTGTACCTGAGCTCTTTTTCTCAAGCCTAGTGCTCTTTTGAGCCACAGCTTCATTTCTGGTTTTCTGGTGGTTAACTGAAGTCTCACAGACTTTCCTGCTTAGGCTGACTTTGAACCACTGTCCTCAGATCTTAGCTTCCTGAGTAGCTAGGATTACAAGCATGAGGATTAAGCCATGAGCCACTGGCCCACTAGCACCCAGCTACTTCTTTTATTCTTGAACAAAAAGATTATTAAACCCTATTTTATTTAAACCCTGTTTTGACTCCTCTGAGAATAAGAAACAAAAAAATCAAAACAATGACATTTATACTTTGATACCAAATTAAAAAATATCTTGGATTTAGTATCCAGCAGTCTTCACAGTAATACATTGTAGAATAACACTTCACATACTATAAATGACACTATTTTTGTGTAGTAATACAGTTTGATAATGATATAATTAAGTTTACAATGCACTTTTTTGGCGATAGTGTTTTACCATGTTGCCCAGGTTAGTCATTCTTTTTTTTTTGGTCAGTCATGGGGCTTGAACTCTGGGCCTGGGTGCTGTCCTTGAGCTCTTCAGCTCAAGGCTAGCATTCTACCACTTGAGCCACAGCGCCACTTCCAGCCTTTTCTGTTTATGTGGTACTGAAGAATCGAACCCAGGGCCTCGTGCATATGAAGGAAGCACTCTACCACTGAGCCACCTTCCCAGCCCCATTTTTTTTTTTCAAATGTGCAACTTGAAACTTTTTTCTCTTTATTTCTAAATTAAATTGTGACATTATTTTATCAGGCAGGCCTCTATTGTTTTTCTGTGTTAAATAGCAATATGTGGTATGATCTGAAGAATTTCCCTTTCTTTTCTTCTAGCACCACCATTTCTAAAAAACAAAAATACCCCCAATAATACCAGGTGTAACGAACACCAGTCTGGCCAAATCATCATCCAGATCTCATTGAAAATTACCATTCTAATTAAGAAAGTCTCTGTTGTATAGATCTGTTCAGAATTAGTGTTATTCTTTACTGAGGAGAGGAAGATAGAAGGTTTTGTAATCTGGAAAGACAAGTTGCCTTTATGTAAATGTATGTGAATGTGTTCTTCATAATGATTCGAACCTTTTTCACCTGGCTTCAGGAGGTTGGAAGATAGTAATTATGCTAATTTTATAGTTCAATAATATTTGGGGCCAGGTGCTGGACTGGGTGCTTCATATAATCACCTTGTTTAAATCTCTTAATGGAGCATTATTCCTGGGTTTTTGTTTGTTTGTTTGTTTGTTTTGGTCTGTCGTGGATTGTGGACTCTGGGCCTGAGCACTGTCCCTGAGCTCTTCAGCTCAAGGCGAGTGTTCTAGCACTTAAGCCACAGAGCCACTTCCGGTTTTTGAGTGGTTAATTGGAAATAAAAGTCTCACAGACATTCCTGTCAGGCTGGCTTTGAACCGCAATCGTCAGATCCCAGCCTCCTGAGTAGCTAGGATTACAGGTGTGAGCCATAGGCGCCAGGCATTATTCCTGTTTTAACAAATTTTAAGAACTTAAGCCTTATGTTGAGTGATCTGTGCAGGGTCTTGTGGTAGTTTGCTGGGTTGGGGGTTTACCTCATATCTGTGGGACTATAAAACTTGCTGCCTTTGTTTGTTATTTTTGTACTGAGTGTTGAGCCCAGGGCCTCACTTACTGTTAGATAAATGCTGCACTGAGCTACACCCTTAAGCCAGAAGATGCAGCCTGAACAATTCTGTATTGGCTCCTTGATCCTAATTCACATGTCTAGTCACAGTCTATTATAGATACAGTAGTGTATTTTCATATAAATGTGATGTGTGTTTGGGATATACATATATATATATGTGTGTGTGTATATGTATATATATATGTGTGTGTATTTATGTGTGTGTGTGTGTATAACACCAATCACCCTGTGCTTCTGTGATGTTTTACTTAATGGCGCTGGTCTTGGAAACCAGTGTTTTGGTCTGTGTAATTCTAATTGCAAAGAGTTCTGGTGGCAACATAGTACACCAGACATTAAGATTCCTTTTGAGGGACTGGGAGGTGGCTCAGTGGTAGAGCATTGCCTTGCATGCATGAGGCCCTGGGTTTGATTCCTCAGCACCATATAAGCAGAAAAAGCGGAAGTGGTTCTGTGGCTCAAGTGGTAGAATACCAGCCTTGAGCTGAAGAGCTAAAGGACCCAGAGCTCAGACCCTACAACAGACAAAAGAAAAAAAAAAAAA